AAATAGACATCTAGTATACAAATATAAATACTACATAGTATACGTAGACACTTCTGACATGTGTACTTTGTACGCACGCACTATTTTTTTATTTGTTTGAACACGATGACCATCCTACTGAGCGTTTTTTAAGGCAGTTTTTGCTGTGCGGTGTGTGGAATCATCTATTTATAAAATGATATCTGTCAAGAAAACAGCGTACCATATCTGAAAGGCAAAGTGTAAAAGTTCATGGACGGCGAAGTCATTTAAAATCCCTTGCCCATTGCATTACAGCAAATATTGTATATGAAAAAGGTAATATAGAATACATAATTCATACCGCTACACAAGACTCCTCTTAGATGTCATTTAAATTTAGATCCAAGACTTCTTCGGGTATTTCCAATGCCTTTGCAGTCACTTCCGTAGACAAGTCTGAACATATTTTGTATTATTTTACAAACTATTGTTAGTGCGGGTTATATTTCTTACAGTGGAAGTAATTTACGAGGGAATGTGGTATAGTAAATTCCGGTTTCAGATAGATGTTTGATTGATTCGGTGTAAGCATACTTGTTCATTTAAGTTCGCTTTGTACTAACCAATTGACATATACAAGAGAAATTATGAATCCTCGCATCCTCCTGTGCCTGACACACGCTGTCGACTTGGGTCTAAGGCAAGCCGGTTTCCACACGATGTTTTCCTTCACCGTTCGATCACTTCGAGCGTATATTAAATGCGCACATAGAAAGAAAGGCCATTGGTGCACAGCCGGGGATCGAACCTACGAACTGAGGAATGAGAGTCGCACGCTGAAGCCACTAGGCCTATACTGCTCTAAAATACATAAGCTTATACTATTTGCGTGTTGTTCCCACGAGAATGCAAGTGCGTGCTCCTTTTTCACCAAGCCTTCTGCTGATAGAGGACAAGTCTTTAATTTATTTTATTATTATTTATTACTTAAGATGTCATGTGGAACATGGTGTAATCGCTGTAGCTCCTTACAAACGTTGTGTAAAACAAAAAACTTGGCGATTAAAAAGAGTGGCGGAGAGTTTATTGCCAGTTCATCTCTTCCGTTTTACGCCCTTGATTTGAAAACTGGCCATAATGTAAAATTAGAAGCATTTCATTTATGTACCTATATATGTTTTTTGAATAAATGATTTTTGACTTAAAGCTTGACTGTATACTGTAATTATTGTAAATATAAAGTATAGATAGATAAATATATATGAAATGGAAATATGGAAATTGAATTAAATACATTATACCTACAGTTCGCTTGTAGGTAACGATTATGCGCGTGCACATAAATCTGCCATATAATTGTATTCAAATTACTCCATTGCGAAATTAAACAAAGTGAAACAAAAAAAATGTGTGGCGTTTCATTTTAATAACGGCCCCACCCGCCTCAGGGAGACCTTTGTAGGGTGAGCCACCCTACGATCAATTCAAACCCTCCATTTTACATCTCTTTCTTACTCGTTCACAACACCATTCTTTCTCTATCTAAAATACGATAAGGCACGAGTATCGCCCCGAGCTATGCTTCGTTAAATGGAATTTCTGTAACGCAAATCAATACAGTGCGAATAAGGCGAGGAACTTTGGAATTTATTTTTTGGGTCATAAGGGTTCCAATATATTATCTGTGTGTAAAATTAATTTTGTGTTGGTAACTGTGATTGTCGTGTCGATGAAAAGATTACGAGGTGACGCTTTGGGCGGGAAAATGATAACTTGGGAAATTTATTGCGATGAATCTCTTGTTTTGGATTGCGGGATGTTCTGTTCCTTTTTAGTATTAAAGTTATTTATAAAAAGGTAATGTATTAGTATGTCTAGATTTGTAATCAGAGCTTTTCAAAAAATGTCTAGAGTCGTCCTTGGAAATTCAAGTTATTGATTTCAATTCATATTATGCTTAATAAAATAAACGATGGACTTTAAAGAAAGCTATATGCAAAGGACAAAAGAGAATAAGGCGAAGGGTGCCTCAAAAAAAGGTGGATAGAGGAAATAGAAGCTATAGCAGGATGCAAATGGAGAAAGAAAGCCAGAGACATTTGGTAAAAGCAGGAGGAGGCCGTTACTCTTGCAGGGGTTCCGATCAACGGTACTGAAGGAAGCTAGGATATTAGGATGACAAGAAAAATAAATTACAACAAATCTAAGCTGTCTATTCTACCTTTGTAATGATTGAAAAATAAAACGGGCATTTATTATTATTATTATTATAATGAAATGACCCAACGATATACACGATTTAAGTAAACAGTGGGCTAATTTTTTAATAGTAAGCGCTTTAGAAGGCCTACAGCTTGAAACAGAAAGAATGGTTTCTATTTTCCATTTCTCCTTCTTTATAAATAATTATGTATCATTCAGGATATATATATGACAACGTTTAATTTCGTAAACATACTTTGACTAGGTACGTCTTATGTTTAATAGTCGATACAAAAGTGGAAATGTCATACAGCGCCATCTCGTGTCACATAAACGACCACAGTTCTATTATTTAAAACCTTTCTTATAGCTGACATTTATCTCATAAAAAAAGTGTGACTTAAACTAAAAGACTGCAATTCGTTGTCAGTAACGTGAACTTCCGTACGTCCAAAGCATTTATTTTATATGTTCAAGCTTAGTCCGTCCGATCTAATCATTTGGACTAACTGCAAAATTGTTCTCGATTTAAGAGTAAAAGAAACAGCGTCGTACTTATTTGCTTAAATGGCGAAGATCAATATACAACTGTTTTTATAGACGTACCTATAGGTCCTAATTAAACAGGCAAACTTTTGGCTTGGCTTCGTAAAGATCTGGGATTGTATATTTAAAGAAGATATTGATACATTTCGCGTTGCAGTAATTGGCTTATTAATTGTAAACCTTTATTTACACACGTACCTTTATGTACATTACGAAATTTAATATGATGTCCCTGTACGATCGGATATCTCTAGCCGGTGTTACTTTCTTATACAACTTGCTAAATGGCCAAATAAAGTACAGTAACCACTTACATTAACATTGTCGTCCCTTATTCATTCCCAAGGAATCAACAGAATTATCCAAATTCCGTCTGCAAAAACCAACCCAAGAGTTCAGGCGACTCTCGTTCGAATTCTTCGCAATTATAACTGGAGCTGGGTATGCCAGTAAGCTGATCAATTTTAAAGAAAGCATTGTTTAGTGCCTATCACGTACCGAATCCGCTGTTTTGCTGGTAATTTCTTTTGCTTACAACAATAAGCAAAATATTACTAGTACTCGTATTTTAATTTTATTTTTTTGTAACATTTACCTTTACCAAAATTGTCGTATATTTTCGAAAAGATAGCTTAACATATATAGCATTATGTATGATGTAAATTTTAATAAATAAAATAATAGCCTTTATTTCAGACCATTTTCTTACGCACAATCAATTTAAAACAAACTTAAGTTCGTTTGCTGACAAAGGCCTCCTCCATACCATTCTGCTTTTACTCGCCCCACCCTTGACCAAACCTTACCTGCAGTTAAATGGATACAGTATAAATATAGTTACGGTACGTCTTTTAGTTCAATAGATATATTAAGGAAGGATTCTTTCATAAAAACCCAAATAATTTTATAGCTTAACAACGGCTTTTTGAATTCATTACATACGATCATTATATACCAGTTTAATTTCATAAATTTATTGATAGCAGTTAGTGAAATCTTATAATTAAAATAAATATAGTTTAATATCACCAAATAAAAACATTTTAACAGATTCATTGATTCTAACTCTGATCCGAAAAGTCCATCGAAGTAGAACTTGATTTATTTAAACGAATTTCAGTGCATATCGGGGTTCTATTAGTGAAAAAAATCACCGATTTACTATTCTTGAATACCATTTCCAGTTAAACGCTCTAAATATTATTAAATATTTCTTAATTAAAAGTGTAGCTATTTAATTATAATAATCAGTGAAATCAAAATATCAATCTAAATAGTCATAATAACCTAGGAAAGATGTTTACGGATACATCACTTCACCGGCAATTGCTTATCATTCCAATGCCGCCGCCTGGAAGACTTGATTAGAACTTTTTTTACATTTAATTAGATAATTTATAATCATTTAAGTAACTAGGGAGGATGTTACGGAGACATCCGTAGACAGCAGCAGCATGGACCAAACTGATCTCAATATGACAAAACAGAAATGTTCGCAGGCAGCAGGATTGTTAGAACTTTGGTATTTTCCATATTTTACGGATCAGAGTCTGGAAAAAAAGGAAGAGGCATTGGGGATGTGTGTGTCTGCTGTTAGAGGAGAATGTTGCGAACCATGGACTGCAAAAAGAACCAATGTCAACCAACCTAAGATCACCACAAGACTGTTAACTATCATTTACAAACGGGTAGGTACTTATTTTGGCCATATTCCAGAAAAGAACTGGATAGTCTCGTCAAACTGGTGATGGTAGGTAGGAGTGATGGCAGGAGGAATCGGGGATTTTCTGTTTGTCTGACCAATTTAAGACAATTAAACAATCAACATCCCTAATGCACTGAGACAAGCTGAGGATAGAGTGGTGTGGAGGCATCAAGTCGACGTACCGGTAAGGGCTTTTTACGACAGTCACAATCTACAGTAGGTACCTAATGAAGACTATGAAGAAGAAGAACATTTAGGTATAGGTATGCCATTTGTGTCTGTCTCATTTTATCTTAATTATAAATTTCGATTAAATCTTTCGTTAAATGAAAATTTGCATTATCTGTATCACGTAAACAAGTAAACTAAATTTAAAATAAAATGGAAATGCCTTGTATTACTTATTAATTTTTGTTTACTCTTCTATTATTTGGTGAAAATTATGAAGGATCAGTATAATTTAGTTTTGGTATAGGTATTTGAGACAGTATGTAATAAAATTAAAACGTATCGAAACAGATAAAGAAAGAAACAAAGACAAACGAATGAGTAGCAGAAACTAATTGATTAGTTATTAATTTTTAGTATGTGGCTACTCATAATTATAATACATAAACGGTATCACGGAGCACCGCGATGCGTCGATGTCGTTGTTACGCGTTATCTTTTGAAGTTTGTCGTCGTAACATCCCGTGATTACTTGGCGCTAGTGTTGCTAACCGCTCACCACGTGTTGCGCACCGACTTGGCCGGGCCCAGCGATTGGACCGAAGCGCCACAGTTGAGCTCCGCGCCACCTCGACCGATACGCAAACGATCCCATGTACCAGGTTCCCAGAAACCTAGAGGAGATCGTACCGCATGCCTTCACAATCAAGCGTCTGTTTCGCTCACTCTATCGTTGACCTTATCGGTTAGAGTAGTGAGGAATGTCATCGCGCCTTTCAGTTTTAGAGAAAATTACATCGTCCCACGTTTATATAAGGTTTAAATTAGCGTGATCACGCTTGCTCAGACACCGTGAATTTATAATGAACTAACTACATACCTATCCGATGCTTATCCGAAGAACAACTTCACCGATGCGGCATGGAAAGGCATTTTCTTAAGTGTTCGAGGAATTCGTGATATATTTTACGTATTCATGTTGTCCTAATCATTGTGATGCTTAAGGACTATTTCGGCGTATTTAACATTCTTCTAGAAAAAAATGTTGGTCCAGCAGTACACATGCACATTTTATTTATATAAAGTTAATTTGATACTGAGAACGAAATTTGAGATGCTCTCCACAAAAATATACTGAAATAAATGAAAAATTACTCTTAAAACTTTTCCAAATTAAAAAAATATAAATAATATACAACCTACATTAACATTTTGGTTTTTTAATGCAGAACATACAGCATTTTGTGCGTTCATAAGCAATCCGCTACAACCCGAAAAATATTATTTTCCCGGATTTGGCACAGAGCAGCAGCGCTTTTTTTAAATAATATCCCGTGTTAGTTGTGTGTCGCCCTGTCGTCATCGAACTAGAAGATGGCGCGTGACGCGATATAGCGGGCAATTGTACTAGGGCAGCATAACAAAGAAGTGGTGTGAACAACGCTGCGCGCATGCTCATGACACAACAACACTACCGCAGTAGCATTCATTCGATTTATAAATTGCTAAAAGGACTTATACACAAAAGCGCTTTTGTTCTTATCGCATGTGCAGTAAGATCCATATTAGTATAATTCAGTATTGGTAGTGAGGGTTAAGGAATTTCTGAAGTACTTCCACGCATGTATGAGAGCCGGGTGATCAGCGCGCACTGCGCAACTCCCCAGAACCACGTCACGAGGCTTGTTCAATTTATTATGCAAACAGGCCGTCCATGCTCGGCGTGTCTGTCCAAACCGATACGGAACTCGCACCAAAAATAGCTCGCATAAATTTGTGATCAGATTCAATATTTATTCATTTTTGCTGCATTAGCATTCAAGGTCATTTTGCTTAGCCTACTCCGCATTTGAAACTAATAACAAATCTATCAATCAATATGACGTATCAACTAGACATTATATACATAGACACCTTCACAGCTGAAAAATGTATCGGCTTTATCCGTAGACTATACAGATACAGGCCGTGTTCGTTACCATGGTTACGAACTTCTTTTTAATCTGTAATGGATGATGGCGGTTTAATTCGGCGAAATGAACTTTACTTTGCGAATAAATTATAAATTCATATTTATACGTTCTTAGAGAGGTTTTTCAAATTGAAAATGCTCCCGCGTATATGTATTCTAATTTCTAAGGGCAAAATAGTTATACGAGTATATTGTAAAGAAAAAAACTCCGAATTTAAAGAGAAATAGGGAAATGTAAGACAGTTTTTCAATTTATTTACTCATTAAACATTATATTCAAATTATACTCATAGTAGTTATAATATAAATTTATGAAAGTCAAGCTAAAACGTTGGTAATATTTGAGCAAGACTGACGAATGCATTTACGTGTATTTTAAAAACTGCACAACGAATCTTAATGCGGTATTTAACAATACAAGAGAAAGATTTTTATGCAATTTCCACCATCTGTGGCAAAGTAATTGAGTAATCCATTATAAATATTCCCGTATATTGTGGATCAACTTCCAAGGTGAAAGAATAATGTAGGAATCGCACATATTTTGATATCTCACAGCCGCGGCTGTACCTACTATCTGTACAAACGCGAAAAACTCAAAAACTACTCAACCGATTTTTATACGGTTTTACCTGTATATAGTGATAATCCTAAGGAAGGTTTTAGTGCATAATGTTCTATGGTTTTATTTAAATTTACTGAAATATAACGATTTTTGCTAGAAGAGGTCGCATAAATTGCATACATTACTAACGAAGTTTAGGATTTTCAAGTATTTTTGAAATTATATATGTTAAGTTCCATACAGTACGTAGAACACCACCAATAAATAACAATTAACTAACATATTAATCTGCTTTAAGAGATCTGAAACTGCTGACTCAATTCGAAAAAATTCTTCCACAATTAAAAAGATAGTGTATTTCTGATGACAATTAATTTGTTTGTCTATTCTACTTTTCACGTAATTACACACGTATTAAAGCAAATTCTAAAGGTTGACTGTTTTTGTCCGTGGTATTTTCACCACAAGCAAAACATGATTGCAATATGTAAGTACATACTTCTTTACGAAATTTCTAGAAACAAATCCGAAATCGTGGACTTTAATTACTGTTCCAATCATCGTTTTCTTCATAGATTTTAGAAAATTTAGTCAACTGTTTACTAGCTACTATTGCGTATACTAAAATCTAATAAAAAATCTAAACTGTAGTTTGATTTGATTAAGAAGGTGGGGATATACACAAGATATATACTATACTGTTAAGTGTGCACTGAGCATACATATTTTTCTGATACCTTTACATTTTAATCTAACAACGGCAGGTGAATAAAAAAACTTCACTGCAGATTAAGGCCGCCTTTTTTCAGTTTACTAACATTCAAAGACCGGGGAAACGTGGTACGTCTGAGCGCGGTGCGGCAACGTCGCATCACGTATATCGATCCTTGCCAATACTTCTAACGCTTTAGGCGCTTAAACTTTTCACGAGGAGTAGACGCTCTGTTACATCGAGCCAAAAAGCGACGACTGGAGAAAATTACGCACTCAAAACACACAACTGACAGCGCTGAATCGCTTCAAACTACAACTGTCTAGTGAGTACAAATTTGTACGTCATCGCTTAAAGCGGTACAGTTGTTAAATAGTTAGATCGTGTGTTCATTGTATGTGTGCGTTTAGGGTCTGCGAGGGCGTAAGATAAAATGTGTCTGACAGGTAAAGATGGGGATTAGTCCACAAATAGTAACAAATAGGTATGATCTATGTACTTGTAATTTATTCTTAACGGTTCAATGCCCATAAGGTCATTTACCAACTTTTTACTTAGCAATCACTATTATAAATAATACAATGCTATTGTATGGTAAACTCATTAAAATTAATTGTCTTCTTAATAAGTAAATAATGTGTTTTTCTTGAAACGAATAATAAAGTGATAATTTGTCTTGTCTTAAAGCACCTAACGCCATCTTTTGAGAAAAACCTTGCAACTTGCAACTAGACTGTCTCGTAAAATTACAATTAAATGAATAATACGATGGGTTAAATCTAATACAACTTGATAACGGATAGCTAAGTTAAGTGATACTGCCCATGGATACTGACAATCATGAGGAATAGGCTTCGAATGACAATTAGTAGCTTTGCCTTAAAAAGTTGCCAGATTTGATGAAGGAACGGGGGCTTCCTCGATGGGCATGTAAAGCTGTTGGTCCAGCACCTGATCTTGTGATAGGTACCTACTTCTTTGCTAAGATCATGGGCTATACTTGGTCTTTTCTATCTATGTGCGTGTCAACTGTCACACGCTCTTACTGGAAAGGAAACCAGCTTGCCACCTAAAATGTCGACATGACAGATCATAAAACAGATACAGGAATCAAGATTTATTTATTTAGAGCATACACGCCAAACAATAATATAACCTACCGTTCCTGGAATCGGGGTGCTTTAAATAATAGAGGATTTTAGTTTTACTCTAGGTATATTAACCACTCGCGTATAGCAATAGAATTTAAAAGCACCTATTGCTATGAAAAGTTCGACTCTCATTCCTGAGGTCGTAGGTTCAATCCTCAAATCCCAATTGACTTTCGTTCTATGCGCGCATTTAACATTCGCTCGAACGGTGAAGGAAAACATCGTGAGCGAACCAGCTTGCCTTAGACCCAAAAAGTCGACGACGTGAGTCAGGCACAAGAGGCTAATCACCCACTTGCCTATTAGATTGATAAATGATCATCAAACAGATACGGAAATCTGAGGCCCGGATCTAAAAAGGTTAAGGATTTACTTTTTATTTATGAAAAGAAAGCATTTACGAATATTGCGTAAATTTTGAAGAGAGTGCCTACGTCTGGCTGTACTCTCGGGGCGTAACTTCGACGATTTAGAAAATCGCCACGCTTATAAAACTAAGAAAGCCTGATTGAGCAAAATGAACACAGCCTTGGCTCGTACAACTTATCTACAACATACTTCTTTGGCGGAACAAGATAAAAATCTTTTCAAAAATTTTATTCTACGTTTGTAGAAAAAACGACACTAATAAGAAAATACTAAAATGTTGACTATAGTCTATAGCTAACTTCAGAGTGTCGGTTTTTTGTGACGGTGTGCGCGCGCATCGTAAAAATTTACTCTCATCATTTTTCCCTAACGCACCAAAAGAAGCAAACTTACATTAAACTCAGTCGTTTTTTTAAACACAAAAGTTGGCAGTTAAAAAAGAGTGGCGGAGAGTTTATTACCAGTTCTTCTTTTCCGTTCTACGCCCTTGATTTGAGAATTGGCACTAAATGTAAAATTAGAAGCATTTAATGTATTTTTCTTTTTTGACGTACATAAGTGTACATTGTGTTACCTATAAATGATTTTTTTACTTTTTTACTTTTTCCTGGCTCTAATATATCCATATGGTGCAGAGGAAACGGTTAAGCATCATAAGCGAAATTGGTGAGGCGGTGTACACTTTGTTGGCTCCACTCAGACTGCAGGGCATCTGAAATACTTCTGGCACAGTCTAAGCAAGATCTAGAGGTCCAGTGGTTTAATATTTGGTAAAAGCCAGTCCAATAGTCTTGGCAGAATTGGTTTTAAGAACATCGGTTCTAATGGGTATAAAAAAGCCGTGTTGGCCACATCAACCTAGAGAGATTATTCTAGTTTATTATGTTGTGACTTGTAACTGATTCTCGCAAACAAAGTCGCGGCAGGAGAAGTTTTAGGCTTTTAAATATCTCTCCTCCGCGGTTTTGATTACGTTAAAAGTTTTATAAGCATTAAAACTAGATTTCTTTTCGTTTTATAGAACAGGGGGCAAAAGGGCAGGAGGCTCACCTGA